CCCACTCGCCAAGTCTTGGCACCAAGATCATAATATATAATTCAAGAAAAACAAAATGGATCCAACAAGAGAGCTTCATCAAATATCTGCCGGTTCATCTTTAGCTAGGTAACTCTATTCTTCACATCTTGATCGTTAATATTTGTGAATTTAATACCGGATTTAATAAAAACGAATATATATATATGGGAGAAGATGGTGGTCAGAAGAAACTATTGCTGTGGTCACCAGAGCAAACCAAGGAATAGGTTTTGCGGTGGTGAAGAAGTTGTTGGAGCTCGGAGTAACCGTAGTGTTGACCGCGAGGAACGTTGAAAAAGGTAGCCTTGCCGTCGAATCTCTCCGTCGCATTGCCTTTCGAAATGTTCACTTCTTTTGCCTTGATGTCTCCAATCATACATCCATCAACACCTTTGTCTCTTGGTTACATATTAAGTTCGGAGTAATCAAAGAAAACACGAAGCGGTTCACTTGACATTCAATTCAAGATATTTTCCCCTTGAAACTAGTAAGATAGAGTTACACTCGGGGATTACTGAACGTCGTGAATTTGGAGGCTTCTTTGGTACTTACAACAATGGTCATCTGACCTCAGTTGGTTTCTATGTAAGGCTTGTCCTTCCTGATGTTGAGATGATTAAAAAGGAAAAAGTATGAATATGCAAGCATGTGACTTGTTGCATTTTCAAGTTTTAATATGGTGTTACTACTCCTGTGGATTTAGTCTAATCTTCGTTAGAGTCAAGTCTCAAGACTCTCAACCATTAGTTTCATTTCTCTGTTAGTTATGATGATGTATTATGTTTTGATTAGACAATAAGAGATGAAACAAGAATAGCCAGAAGGAATCTTTGTCACATTAAGCTCAGTCTGTGTGATTAACATTAATTGCTTTCTTTATTCTTGCTACGAGATTAGGCTATGACTTTACAGCATCATCAACAGTTTGGTGCACACACTGCTCCTAATCATTAACCTGATTCAAACTTGTCTTGACAAACCACAAGAGATCTATTCAACCTCTCCTACATTCATCAGTAAAATTCAAAACATAAACTTTTACCTTCAATTGATGTCTTGTAATCAAACTAAATCGATTATCCAAGAGACACAAGCCACACTTTCTTCTTTAGATAAACACATTGAACACCAAACGTTTCAGACTACAATAACTAATCTTCCAACATTCATGTACAATTTTCAAGTTTGCACAACATCAATCTCTAATTGAACAAGAGAATTAAAGACCTCAGAAATAGACTCACTTGGAACAGTACAGGCATCTCGCTATCGAATGGTTCTGTGCATTAATTTGTGATTGGAACACTGCAACTCTATGCGCTTCGGCCTATCAAAGCACTCACATACACATTTTTTTGTTTTTCCTTTAGTGGCTATTACTCACATGCAGATTTGAAATATGCCTTCTGCACCGTGCCCAAAAAGCACAAAATACTACCCTTAGATAATCTCAGATTAACCAACCTAAGTATACATAAAGAAGCTATAACTTCAGGAATTTAGCCACTAAAGGAATCTGAGTCTAGGGTCCGTGAAATTTTACATCGTTTGAACAATTTCAGCATG